GCTTTAACACTCAATATCAGGGAATCTAATTGCACTTACAAATCATTCCTTCGTTCCTTTGGCTTGCTTCTCTGGAGAAACTCTGTGGCAAATAGTGTCTTATCACACCCCATCAGGTTTATTACAGGCACCAAACTAGAGGCTCAGTCCTGGCAATATGATGCAGAACAGGATGTGAGGTCAATCTTTCATCATCTTTCTCTGTCATTGAATGTTTCTCCCAGGTAACGGGGTTATCTGAAAATCTTTACATTTGTCTACGGCAGTGTTCGTGTGTGTGTGTTTGTTTGTTTGTTTGTGTTTCTGTCTCAGCCATGAGCTGTTTTCACACATTGCCGCTCTTTTTCTGGACATCGCCCAGTGGAGCTGTATGTCAGAAAGCGAACGTCCAAACCAGTAATCAGACATTAAACGGGCTTTTCGCTGCCAGCTCTCTAGCAAAAAATTGTGATATCTGATTGATACAGAGTGGGCAATCGTCCACAGAAATCACAGGGAGCGTGCTGGTATCAGTATATGTTCTGCCTCCTGCACACTCTAGCCACGTCCCATTCCTCGCCTTGGTGGGGGAAAATTGTCTTGATTCTGGAGTCAAAGTCAAATCAAATTTTATTTTATTTTATTTAACCTTAAGTATTAATAATTGCTATCTTTCTCAGTTATCTGACCTACCTGCCCTGCCCCATGAGATTCTTCTCTTATACCCTCTTACTCTCTCTTATTCTAAATGCACGACGGTGAACATGAAAAATATTATCAGCAGACAAGTAGTGTTTCTTGCTGCGATGATCTGGAATGGATTATTAACCTGATCTGAATGGCAATGAGTATTTGATCAAGAAACATTGACTCATGTCTTGTCCTGCTGTATCACACCTGACTGGCACACATTTCTCCCCGCTTAGCCTTTCCTCCTCCACTGTAATAGAAATTAGACCGTTTACTAAGACTACACAGGGCTTTCTGACAAATACTCAAAGGAGGAAGGGATTAACCTTTGTTGAATGCGACTATGAGAAGAGGCGTTTGTAGTCACTAGGTGAGGATAACCATGCATGGTTATCTGTGGCATTTGATCCAGGGTAAAGGTCAGTATGTCTGACTGCTGGCTTACATTAAATGCGTTGTGCTTTTAAAGATTTCTGGTTCTTGTCACACAACCACATAGAAAACAGTTCAACGAACACTGAACATAAGAGCAGAAATCAAGGAAACATTTATTTTGTCAGTCTCAGATTTGTTACTGAGACTGAAGAGTCTGTTGTTGAGCAGGGGTGTCAAACATAAGGCCCCAGAGACAGAACCTGGCCAACAAAGACTCAAATCAGGCCCACTGGACAGCTTTTGAAAATGTGAAGGGATGTATAGATTTTATACTTTCAACTGTGTTTGCATACATTTTATAGCTTTTTCAATTGATGAAGACTGCCCACCCCATTGCCCTTCATACTACATCAAAGTAATTAACTAGCAAACAATTAAATGGCAGGAAAGTTCCTGTTTTTATTTTTCCTCTATTAGTGAGTCCACAGTAAATTAACAACACATTTATAATTACAGGGCAGTGCAACAAACTGAATGAATAACATTTATCATGTAGTTTTACTGGTCTGGCCCATTTAAGATCAAAGTGGAGTGTATGTGGCCCACAATATAAGATGAGTTTGCCATCCCTGGTTTAGAGCATGACCTGTGACACAGATCAGACTGGAGAATTTTAGCCAAAGTGGCTGGTAAGAAGGAATCTCCAACCTCTATGTTGACATAACTGTCTTTGGTTTGCTACTATTTTTCAATTGCAAACGTGAGCTTATAATTTTATATCTGTACTGGAACATATTTTCTTTTAAGGTTTTTTTATTTGCAGCACGAATAAAAGACCCCTTTACACTGCTACATTTTGTTGACTGGATGAGGAGGTTTGAGAACATCACATTTTAAAGCACACGTTTGCTATCTGGAAACTGATTTGCAATTTTGGCATTTGTGATTTCTCAAAACTTGGCTTTTTGGCTTGTTTTCCACATTGAACATTGGAGCAAATGAAAGCCTTCGTGCACATACATTTTCTTTTAGTGCCAAATTGTCATTCGCGAAAATTAAGAGAGCTAAACAAGAGAACTTAAACTATGGAGTATTTCTTGTAGTAATGACAAGAAATGAGGATAATGGATTGTTAGTTCATTTCATAATGATGCTAGATATCCAGGGAAGTGTAGATAGGCACATTAGAAGTCAAAGACGGTTCTAGAATAATAGGAAGGCTCAGAGATAATGTACTCTCACAAGGGGGCCACGACATTAGCAACAGCCCAGCAGGACTCAGCTCGCACGTGTGCCAATGACGCATTAAAATCTTCAATGACAAAAGATATAAGAGAGGCATTTTTCTAGGCATATTTTTTTGCCGCCATCATACATCAGATGCAATACTGTACATTCTTCTGGTACACAACCAATTTTTGAGGTGGTTAGTGGTAGCTGGTCAGTATGGGTAAGGAGAGGGCAAGGAGGACACACTGACTGGAACCAGTGAAGATTTATTATATGAAAGCTGCCCTCCAGAATGCCCCAATTATTACTAGACTGTTAGATGTCTTAAAAAGCAAAAACGAAAAAGCGATGGAAATTATTGCTCTGTATTTTAAAAATAATGATTTAAAAAAGACTCCGCACAGGAGTCATAACTCTTTAATCAGCTCACTGTGATGAAAGCTGGGAGCCAACATGAACCATGAACATGAAAAGACGAAAACACAAATAAGACAAAAAAAGAAGTAGAGATGACATTAACTTCTGCTCAAACGAGCACAGCGGGAGAGAACCCAAAGTATTTAGCACCACTTTTTCTGTCTTTTTGAAGTTGTTTGTCAATTCACGGCATCCAGTGCAGTATTTAGTGCCTTCAACCTCTATCTTCCCCCGATGGCACTAGTGCAGGGTGAGTGTAACAGTGGACCTCTACTTCATTAAATATTAATTTATTCATTACATGTTAACTCTGTGAGACCTTGGAAGGAGACGCCAGGTGACTCTTCTTCATTTGGTCCCCACTGCTCTCCGCTGGGCCCAGGAAAACCACAGTAATGCCACGCAGCTGGGGAAGTACAGAGCAAATTATTCAGCTCCATAGAGACAGACTCTTTGTGGTAAACACGCGGTGGGACACTAGTGCTGTCATAATTAAATCTGTAAATCCATAAGAGCAGGGTGCCTCCACTTGGTACACAAATATGTAGTGTGGGAATCACAATCAAGCAGAATCCCACTTGAATATTATACAAAATATAGCTTTGTGAATCTCTTCTCTAAAATTTCAGATCATTTTATACTCTTCTGGTTGGTATGTTTTCATAGACTATAAAGTATATGGCACAAATAGCAATTGTTATAGAAGAAAGGAAAAACTGAGCAATGAGAGTGGGGAAAAGTTAGGCGTGGCGGTTGGGCAGCAGAACTCTAACTTCCTCATAGAGGGCAAAAGACCGCTCAATCTTCGACCGAGCCATGACAGATCAGAGAAAAAGACGCCAGCGAGCATCAATTCTTTGCTTCTCTCGGTGGCCCATCAATGGGGGAAAATCCCCAGTGAACAGGCAGCCTGGCTAATCCACTGCTAAATGACACCTCCAGACGCTAATGCCCAGACTGACCACAGAAGCAATCCGCGGCAACTCCTCCACACATGTACCCACTGATGCTTTTCAGCCAAGGGAACTTGAAAGGGCCGGGGCCATCTCTGTCTCTCTGTGTGCCACCTGCTTAGCATCCCCGCGCTGCAAGCTGCTATAGAGAGACATCTCCGGCAGAGGAGAAAGGCCCATTGTGTCCAGACGCCTTTGAGGGCATTGTTCTGCTTCACTGAGGCCAGGCCGACATCTGCACCATTCACGCCGAAGGAAGTTGTAATCACTCCCCTACTCTTAGGTCTCTGGCTCCAACTTCATACCAAGAAGGCTTGTGAAGTTGGGCCTGCGGTAAACAACGGGGCGAGAGGCGGGGGAGTGGTTGCACAGGATTTGGAATGGTGGCTGTTTTTGTTAAGCGGCATCAGTTTAAATAGAAACTCTTACACAGCCCCATACAGGCCCCCTGATCCCCACCCTTGCTTCTAACCCCCCACCCCGCAACTCGCCCAAATGCTCCGTCTCCATAGCACAAAGCCGAGAACTGATTTGGGGTTACCTCTCCATCAAAAGCGCTGATTAATTGCTTGTCTTTCACAAGTAGGCCAAGATATTTGAAATGTGTCCGCGTGAATTATAAAAAGCGTCAGGCTGCCGCGCTTTCAAAATACTCTTTCACTTTCTTTTCATCAGTTAAAATAATGAAAAGAAACGGGAGGGCTCTGAGGGTAAGGAATGTTTCAGTGGTCAACTTGCAAAGGGGTTTTTATGTAGTTTTCATTTACATATAATTACACTTTAATAGAAGCCTGACTGGCGTGGGGTACGAGAGTGACCGTGCGGGCTGCTGAGGAGACCCCCTATGATAGAGGATGACAAGCTGTAGTGCTAGCTCCATCTCTGGCTAATTAAACGAATCAATTAAGAGACTATTGTTGTAACTGTGTAACTGATGTTCTGCAGTGGCAAAAATGGTCTCTTGGGGAGGCCTTCCAACCATATTAAAACTGCTATCCACTACATCTCTATCTGATACCAATATAGACACTTATTTGCGCCTTGCTGTCATGTCATTGGAGGCGGGCACATTATGGAAATTGAAATGGAGGGGTTGAGGGGAGCAGGACTGAGCTCAGTGTGAAGCGGCGGGGTTCACTTCCCATCACCCTCCAAGGAGAACTCGCTTCAGCAAACTCCAAAGTCCCTCAAAGTTCCCTAATAGCAGAGCTAGAGCCAGCACACCCAGCTGTGTGCATCCAGTCACTAGGTAAGGGTCGCGCAATTAGCATACTCCTCCCTGCCAGGCGAGTCGCGTTGATGCAGATAAATTATCATATTAGATTTACCCTCCTCAGTTCAACTGATTGGCTCCCAAATTGTTTTAGATGGCCGTCATTAATCCTTAGCATAGGCTAAGTGCTTTGGCTTCAGATCTGATTGCACTGAGGCGCCTAGGGTCAAATTAACAGAATACTAATGTCTGAACTCTATCTCATTTGCAGCTTCACAATGCTACTTCTATTATAGGCAACAGAAAAGAGTCAATTGCCATTTGTCTAATGTAGGATTTAGAAACTCTCAAGATGATAATTGAGGTCCAAGGTAAGAGCAGAGACGACGTTATTGAGTGAAAATATGTATATAAATGAGAAGCAGGGAAAAAGAATTACCAGGAAAATGTCAAAGCATAATTTCATTTCAAAGATGCGAAATGTTTCAAATGCAGCACTTATTATTCCATACGTTCATTGCAAAAAAAAAAAAGTAATCACAAGAAAGACAACAAATGGCACTTTAAAGCGAGCAGTGCTGGTGCTTAGATGAAACAAACGCCCACCCCATCCTCAACCCCTGCTTTGAATGTGCCTCTGTGTTGAGAGAGACTGACAGATTTATGAATAGACTGAATCAGAGTACTTGCCTGAGAGTCCAGTGGATCCATGTCCAGTCTTTGTCTTTGAAAGCTGACCCTGTTTGTTTAAGTGCTGGCACCACATGAGTGGAATGAGACTCCCTTGGCGCCTGAGCTGTCCTGGCTCTTCTAGCCAAAGTCAGCATTGGCATGTTGCTGGGACCTTCTGAAGGAGATCAAGGGATTATCCCCACCTCACACAGAGACATATATTCAGTATATATGTATATAGTTTCAATGGACCTGTAAAGTTTCAAACATCATATCATGGGGAAAATTGTACCTGATAGTCCTGTGGTATCAAGCCTTGAAAAATCCCACAGGAGGACAGGCTCAGCTGAGGATGTCAGATCTTGGGAAGCTCCCCAGGATTGCACAGACGCTGTATAAATAAATATCAGTTGTTAGAGCTGCAGATCCCAGGCTAAAATGCAGACCAATATTTGTGGTTAAAATCTTTCTAAGAATGTGAAAATAATACAATGGTTTAAGGGTTTTACAGGTGGCTTGTGGCTGGTTGGAGTCTTGTCATGTGTCAGAATGCACAGCTGATTATACCAGCACAAGAACCAACAACATTGCTCCTAGAAGTAAAATTTTAATACGATGCAGTGTCAGTGATCTATTTTACACACACACACACACACACACACACACACACACACACACACACACACACACACACACACACACACACACACACACACACAGAGCATTTTAAGTAATAATGAATAGATCTTTAAAGAATCCTGCAACCTAAAATGTCCAGGATGCCACACTATCTTTAAGCAAAACTGAGCTGATGAAAGTATTATTCATGTAAATATTTTCTTCTCCTTTCATGCAATAAGCTGAACACTAAATTATGCAGTGAAAGATTTTGATAATCTATTCCAGCAACTAAAAAGTTTTCTCCAGTTATTTCTATCAATTTAAAGAGCAGTAAAGAGAGAACCCCTGAAGTTATAACATGGTGTGATGCAGCTGTTTGGATGAACATTTGCACAGGTACTAAATGGCAGATGGATGATTTTTTCCTCATAAATCCAGTATTATCAATCAGCTTAAAGAAGGCCTACACATCAAATGTCAAAGTATAGTCAAAAAAACTCATATTCCTTTAAAATAAAATGTATTTATTTGTTGTTTGCATGAATTCTTATTGAAAATACACTTTTACTTTACTACTACTTTCTGGACTCCAGTTTATTAAGATTATATATTGCATAAAACTGGTGACAGTGATGCATTGGAAGGTTGGAGTGGTAGGCTGTCATTACACATTTTAAACATGCTAAAAATTGAACTGTAAATGGTAAATCTTAAACATAAAGCAAAATCTAATTTCTTCAAATGTATCCCCTACCACATGAAACACGCCCACGCAGTATACAGTCTGTATACTGTGACTGTGTAACTGTATAGCTAACTCTATTTATTTATCTAAAATCACATTGTGTTTTTTCCCTGTAATAATAATGCTGAGCATGTCTGCACTGTTTACATATTTGGATATTTTCTCAATAAAGATAAAAAGCCACTCCAAAAAGCTTTGTTAGCTGCCTAACCGGGACCGAGGACAATTCCAACTTCAAAGTCCAGATGTACAATGGGACTTTGATTCTGTGTGTGTGTGTGCCTGTTTAGGTCTGCTAATAAAAACAGATAACAAATTGTCTGATGGGCAGAGCTTTCATGATCTATATTAGTTGCTAATATTTTTAAAAAGACAAGAGTCCAAAACATCTTTGTATCGAACTGCTGCGTAACAAGGCGTCTTGCAACTAGACGACCATATTTGATGTTTTATTCCTACCATTTGAAAAAACCCATACAACCCTACATGGTGGAAAGCTTCCACCTAAAAGTCCGTTAAGAATTCTGAAGGAAGTGACGAAGAATCACCTGACTTTCAATAAGGTTTGAGTTTAATTTAGAGACTTGATAATGATTGGAAATTCTCAAATTCATTAACTCTTAAAAGTCTCTTGGAAGTGCTTGCAAAGGCTGGTCAAAAGATGCCATTAGGATCTGTCACCTGATGAAAGCTCTTATTAAATTTCTGACTCTTTAAACCTGTGGAAGCACTCAGCAGTGGGCAACTGACTGACAATATGTTGGGGAAAGTAAGAAATCTATCAAAACGACTCCAGCTTGCAAATTGCAGGAAAAAGATAAAAAAGAAAAGAATTAAGAAAAGCAAGCTCTGCTGACAGGCGAAGCAAAACCTACGTTTCTTTGCAAAAGCAGAAGAAACAAGGGTTGCATCATTCCACTATGTGGCAACGCTTGCAAGAACAGGTTTATCACAAAAGCCAAGATTGGAACTATGAAAAGCAACATCTGGATATGCCTGAGTAAATTTAGAAACACATGTTCTGTACAGATGCTAGTTAAAATGACCTGTTTGGCTACAATACGTAAAGAAATATTCGGAGCAACATTTTATGAAAGCAAAACTTTCCAAACTTTCAACCGCGAAACGGGATGGTTTTCTTTGAGGGCTTTGGATGACATTTTGTGCAGATTTGTGCTCATTGTGAAGAGATCTGCAAAAATTACCATAACTGAGCAACAAGTAAAATGCACAAAAAGTAAAGAAATTTGTGTTTGGTCGATTATTTCTTTGTTATAATGATGCTTCTTAGCAATAAATTGTATACCAGTGGTCCCCAACCCCGGGGCCATGGACTGGTACCAGTTCATGAATTTAGCACCGGGCTGTGAGAGTTGAGGCTCAAGTGTGAAATTTATGGTTTTCAGGGTTTTTATCGGTTTTTATCATTGTTTTTTTTTTTTTTATCTCTTTTGATTATTATGAATGTGTTATGAATAAATCTTCTTTTTTTTGGTATCGGTACTGGTTTTATTTTGTTGTATTTATCCGCAAACATAAAAGGCCGGTCCGTGAAAACATAAACCGCAAAAAAAGTTGGGGACTGCTGTTGTATACCATTGGAGAGCCTGTTATTTACCACTTAAATGGTGCCACATTTCTAATAAAAATTTATCACTGAAACTGGTGTGATGGCCAAACCCATGGCCACACTCTAAAGTTGGTAACTGTGTATTTTCATTTCTTTGTTTGAACACAATAACACACTTTAGTTTCCAATAACTTTATTGATTGGTTTGGATATATTTGTTCTATTTGTAAGCGTGCACATTTAGTTTGCTTATGTATTCATACCAGACTATACTGCACTGTTTGTTGTTTACAGTTGTGTTTTGCTTAGTTACCCTGTGACTCCTGTTTTCAATCACACTGGTATTGACAGATAAGATTTGGCCGAACAGCTTATTCTGTGACCGACACAACCACACTGGCTGACTTGTGACAACTGCTGGTTAAGGAATGGGCCATCCCACATCAGTGTGTGACCAAACTGGTAACCAACATAAGGAGGGTGTGTCAGGAGGTGCCAGTGACTCGTGTTTGGTGTCGTTTATTGTATTATAAGATTTATTGTCAAGAAACATTGTTACAATAATCAACCTTTTCTGACGTCATAGTTTATATTAGTGTTGGTAGAAGATGCGCGCCTAAGATTCAGTTCTCACTCCTGGCTTCCCCAGGTACAGACTTTTGCAATCGCTTGACTTGAACATCATCACTACCATAATTGGACTGTCATACATATGCAACATTACAATCTCAAAGTATCTAGTGGGCAAATAATTTTAATCAAGAAAGAGCTGTTGCAAAATAAGCATTCTAGGTAGTAGGCAGGCATGTTTACAGGGGTCATAAGAGGCAGTCAGAACTTACAGAAATAATACATTTAATCAGGTTACTTTATGTCCATTGTTTTCACTCTTTGATTAAAACACACCTCTCTTGAGGGCATTTATGCCCAGCTGTGTTTCTGAGCTCTGAAACCCTGTTCATTGTCCTTCAACTCACTATGATTGTGTGACCATATCTATGTGTCTGTTTAGGTGTGTAGAAGAAGCCTGCCCTGTATTTCTTTTTTGCCTCTTGAGCCTCTCTCTGCGCCTTCCTTATACCTGTCATCTGGCAAGGCTAACCCCTGGTAGCTCCCCGCCAAATGCACACACATAAAGACTCGCACATACACACATTGTGAATCCCCGCCAAATGCCCACCCTTCCAGCCCCTGCGCACGCCAGCCGGTGTCAGCGAATCAGCTGAACCGTCTCCGCCCTGAGAATAACCCCATGACAGACAGCCCTAGTGGCCTCCCCTTGTCAACACAGCCTGCCTGGAAAGTTGACAGCCAGGGCATAGGGTGGACAGGCTACTGTAGGCAGGAGTTTACACCGGGCTGGGCCTGGAAAGGATGGGCCTTGGAGAAGAAATAAGAGGTGTGAGCTTGTAAAACAAGGCCGGAAAAGAAGAGATCCTACAGCTAAAGACTAGAGCAGCAATTGAGCATACGACTAAGAAGTCTGATGCGTGTTATTGAAATGTATTTGAGTTTAATTGTTTTTACTGGTAGTAATAAACCAAAAGACAAAGGCAGAAAAAGAACTCACCTGTGGATGAGAATAGAAGGATTATAATCACAGAGGTCAGCTCCTGTCAAGGTTACTGCAGCAGTTTGGCTGGCAGAGTCGAGTGGCCAATCCCTGCAGAGCAAAGATTGAAAGGTTTGGGTTGGCTTGCAGCCTGGAGATTGTCATTATTCTATCGTCTCTTCCAACAATTAGGTTAAAAGACAATCCCTTCAGCGTTTATAAAGGACTGCTACTCACACATTCAAGGTATAAATCTGAATTATTTTTAGGTTTGAAAGAATGATGGACAACACATTACAGAAGAAATCATCAGGTTACTATAACAAAAATAGAATGCGCACAGAATGACTGTCGTCATGAAAAGTAACCAAAAAAAAGTGCTTCAATTTTTTTGGGGCTTGTTACTCTTTTTCTGATTGTGTCTCACCTCTTTTTACTTTGTGTAAAATTTGAGTATCAGGTGTCACGTAGGCCTAGAGGGAAGTGACTAAACAGCATATGCTGGGCAAATTCTCTTTCCACCGCAAAGCCTTTTATACAAGTACATCAACCAATATTCTGGTATTGTGTTATTATTTTAGGGTAGTCATCTAACAAACTACACAGCAACATCTACTACATGAAAAATCGTTGAGCTATTTGATGGTTTTTGTTGCCTACTATGTGCAATCAGTTTCACACTGCATTTAAAAATGACTGCAACAAAGATTCCTATTTGTTCAAAGCCTAAAACCGTGTGTGTGTGTGTGTGTGTGTGTGTGTGTGTGTGTGTGTGTGTGTTTTCAGGGAGCCATCAGTTCTTGTTTATGGGTGATCTTTCTAAATTCTGAGAACTGTCAGAAAATACAGGCACTTCTTCTCGTTAAAGCTAACAATAGCATTATTAGGAGAAAGACAAAAAAAGGAGCAGCAACTTTCACAAGTCTAAATAAAGGCAAGTAAGTAAGGGAGGAGGAGGAGTGCTTTAAACATGACTGTAGGATTACACAGAAAGCCAGTTACTGTGAGTACTGACATAGTTTTAAATGCACATCTTCACTTAGCAAAGTGCAAACCTGCAACCAAGGAAACGCAAAGACAGAGGGGTGGGAGCAACTTAGTGAATCAGTGCTCATACGAGGCTGCCACGCGTATACACAAGCACAGAAACACACGCCTGCTCACACTCTCACGCGCACACACCAACTGTGTAGATAAAAAGGGATCGTCACATGACAGATTCCCAGCAGATTGTACATGCAGAGATCTTAGGTTTTAGCTTCTGTGCCTTTTGACTTGAAGCACACGCATCCTCAGAAAACACTAGCTGCAGCCTAAATCAAAATTCAGGATCAGGATTATGCACTCAGTCAGACATATCTCAATTTCCAAGGTAAAAAGAAACAGAAATTCTTCAGGGAAGATTTAAGTGAGGTATTTTTAAGGTCTTATTCCAATGTAGCTCATTTGAAGTCTTTGAAGCCTCCTTTACTAGCGAGCTTTGAAACGAATCAGAGCGGTGCCAATGAAGCCATCAGTGAAGACTGACACAGAAAGATAGATGTTTATATGGTGCTTCACTCCAAAGGAAGTAGTGCAGCTTCTAGACTTTTGACTCTATTCTTTGTTTGGAACTGTTACAACAGTGGCATTTACCTGCTGCCCACCTTTACATTTCTTATGTAGCGGCAACCTGTTACAGAGATTCTATCGCCAATCTTATTTTTCTGTATTTCTTTTAATGCGAATGCCCCGGGAAGTTGCATCCTTTACTTGTGAAGGACTGACGAGTGAAAAGGAGCATAAGGTTTGGGCGGGCAAGGCAGAGTCGAGAGCAGTGGGACTACACGGCTTAAGCCAAATACATATTTATGAGTAGCATCCACCCACAAGCATGACTTTTCAAACCCAGCCAAGCTCGGGCAGGCATGCAGGCATGCAAGCTGGGCCAGAACAGGGCAGGCTGATTAGGCCAGAATCTGCAGGGGTTTGGGTTTCTACTCAACTTTGTTTATGTGCTATTGTGTCCTCTCCTTTCATTACTCTTTTAGTTAGTTGACTGTCCAAAGAAATATGCAAACATTTTGTGAAATTAGAATTATAGAAGACATTGTAGATGGAAGCTGAAATGCCGCAACCTTTAGGTAAAGGGTGGAAGTTTGGAGAAAACAGAGAGAGGGGGTGGATGACGACTTCCTCTAAATGGAAAAAAAATTGGATGGTGTTCATTTAAAAAAAAAACAAAAAAAAAGCACCTCCAAGTGAAATCTTGCTGGCATTTCTCTTTCTTGTGTCTCGTGATCGTTTCCTCCTCAAGGTCATTGTGTGAGCATTTAAGATCTGGCAGCACGGGGATAGAAAAGGAGCTCATGTAGCAGCGACTTGGAGGAGCAGTGCAGTGGTGTTGGCTATCGACTGGTCCATCCAGTGTGGCTCCTACCACAGTTTGGTCTCCTTCACCCAGTTCTTCAAGGCTGCCTTTAATCTCTCCCTGTGCCTCCCAATCCGTGCCTTTGATGTGGAGATGCCCTTCCTTCACTTACTCAATATTTGATCTATCTTACTTCATACAGCTAAATCCAGTTGAAGTGGATTCACATAGACAGGGTACTCCCTCTCTTCTTAGTTCTTCCTACCCCTTTTCCCTACTTGCTCCCATGTTCAGCAAAATGATCTCCTAACCAGCCACACACACACAAAGAAAATCCCCTTTTTTCGTTGTCACGTAACATGGAGTGTTAATTGATAGAACAGTCGATCGTGTCTGCGTCTACACACGGCACAGAGAACATACAGTAGATCGACATGTAAACGGGCTGAAACGTGTGCTGCGGTTGTGCTCACTCGCTCTGCACAGATACACACATTGCAGTGTCTTAATAAAAGTCAACCAGCTGCTGTGCTCTCGCCCACCACGTTGAGCCAGAGGTGTAAGTATCAACTATCATCTCCTCCCTGGCTGCACCCACAGACGAGCCTACGAAGTAGAAACAAGATACAGAATTACTGCCTGTTTACTTCAACTGGAGACCTAACACATGTTGTGTAGGAAGGCAGACTTTATTGTCAGCATGACAAAAGCAGTGGCTGTATTTCCATAAACATCAACAACAGATGTTTCACTGCACAACGACTTATTGCTGAAAGCATACAGTCAGATTATACAGTTTGCAGGCATTGCTGACTGCGTGCATATACTGTATACTTCTGTCTCTTTATGATGCGCACTGGCCGATGTCAAGGAGTGACCCTGTGCTTCATTTCTAAGTCTTCTCTGTGTCAGTAAGGCAAGGAGACATCCACCATATGGCCTTGCCTTCTGCATCCTTATCCCTGCATAATTACAAGCCTATACGTAACATTTCAACTGAAACAAATGAAAAAAAAAACCATAAAAAAATAAGACCTCTAAACGTGCATATCTAACAAAGCTGAGCGAGCTTTCCTTTATGTTTTGATGAAGAGAACAGCCCCGTTCCATATCAATTACGATAAAGAAAAGCCAAAACACAGACAGCCACAAAACAAACGAGCAAACCCGAGATTTGTTTGTGGCATGTCTCGGATCAGTGAGGCGCTCTGCCACCCGCTTAACAGCTATCACAGAGTCCTTATTCCAGAGCAGAGGGTTTGTGTAACACTGAAGCCAAACCGTCTACTATTCTATCCCACATTAGTTCCACTTAGTTGGGTCCCAATGACCTATTCAATGTAAATGTACTGTGCAATAATGAGTGGCGGACTGCAGCAGCTCTTTAATGGGTGGGTATGTGCAAGGGAGAATGAAATGACAAGGCAGAAAGAGAGAGAGCGAGAGAGAGAGAGCGAGAGGTTCATGGCCTTTCGGGATAGGCTTGTTTAAGCAGGGTAATGATGGGAAAGTAAATGGCTTTAAAAGAATAATTAGCCTAAGATAGAAAGAATGCCAACCTTGTTTCAACAGATACACCTCTTCAGATGGCTAAATAAAAACTCTGCCTGGCTACTGTTAGCTGTGCAAGGGTGACTAGTGTTTTTCTTAAGTCGGATTTCAACAAATGATCACAGACCAAGAAAAAACACAGGAGGAAAAAAGGGGAGAAAAAAAAGAAAAATGATCTGTGATACTCTAATGGCAACAAGATGGCCTCAAAGGTAAAGGACTTGCAAATCAGCCAGAGTCACACCTCAAAGCTATACGCACTGTTTTGATTTGAATGCTGTTTAAGTGAGAACAAGCCCAAATTAATGAGTGAGGTGAACAAATGATTGCATCAGAGACATATTAATGACTTATGTGTTAAGAGGAGTATGACAGTCTCTTCTTTGCTTCATCTCATTTGGCAAGAGAAGGTGTTTGGGGGGTGCAGGCTTTTGACATAGCACCGTGTAGGCAGCCAGAGAGTGTTAGAAGAACTTGAGTCAATCTGTCATGCTCTGGGACCGCCTCTCTTAATACCGCTTTAACCTAATGACCCGAGGTGTAGCTATGTGTGTGCTGAAAAGAGCGTGTGGACATTTTTCTGCCTATGTTTGAAGTGTGTGTGTGTGTTTTTTTTAAGTGATGAGAGTATACCCGTAGGTCCTTCGGGTGCTGTTTGATGCTAGGTATTACATGCGGGTGCCAAGTTTTATCTCACTGGAATCCCCTCTCTCATCTGCGTCCCCTCTCCCACTACCCGTCAGAATCCCATTGCAGGAGCTGGAAGACAGGACTGTTACCTTTGAGACAGACACCAAGCAGATCTCAGGTTGAGCTCCCTGTTACCATGCGGCAGCCATTGGAAACAGATGGTCTCCAAACAGCCTGTCATGTTTACTGCTGCTGCCATAAAAGACAAGAGTCCAACAACACACTCCCTCAGGAGCCCCACGGGATTGCACAGGGGCCCGCAAACAGCTGCCTGGGGGGTGGGAGGGGCATTGGCCCTGCACCTTTAAGCACACACGCACACACACACCTATACTCACACCTTGAACTGACTCCTACCTCAACTACTATTCAAATGCCTCTATTACCAAACACGTAGCGCGCACATACACACCTAAAAGAGCGACACAAAAAAGGCCGGGCTCGCACTCCAAATGTCCTCCACCAAGCCGTCCGGACATGCTACATTTACTGCAATTAAACAAGCATGCCATTTGAATATCTGATGACACCTTGCAACCTGCTCCATGGGCTCTGAATATAATGGTGTCCCTGTGGAGCCCGCGAGAAATTGTCCATGTCACAGTTAATGAAGGGAATTTGCATTGTTATCTCAATTAAGGCAGTGGAATAATGAAGCTCACTTCTGAATTAGTTAATCGACAAAAACTTGTACAAATGTGTTTGCATGGCCTATAGGTATGGCCCACAGCTAATGTATATTCTTCAGGGTTACCGGGGTTACGTCAGACCAAGGGAGTGCAGACGGTAATGAGGCAGGTGCTACCGGACAGTTCTCTTCCTCTCCTCGGGAGGCTAGATGCTACTCTGACCTCCCAATGCCTCATCCTCTGTCTCTTCCTCCGTGTCTTGCCATGTCTCACCCACCTCGCTCAATTACCTCTCTCCCCCCATTCATTTGCATGGCACATCAAATGCACAAACCAGAAGCAGGTAGCAGATTGGAGGAAGAAATCCAGGTGTTTTGCCTCCACCTCGCATCACACTCCTCCCCGCTCCGTCAAAATATCAACCCTGACCCTAGCCGGAGCTTCTGGATACAGATACTAGTCCAGGCTAAGTGATAAAAAGCTGAACGGGATAAAGGAAATATCTATTTGCTTGAGTACTGTCAGGTTGAAAAAAGCTTTGACATAAGAGGATAATGTTGAATTTAGACTTCCCATTGATCTGCTGTGACAGTTTAAGTGGCCGCTTTGGTGTGGTTTGTGAGGAGCGTATTCTTGTGTGTGAAGACTGTTTAAGTGGGTATTTGTAAGAAGTAACTAAAGGCCATCACTAAAGGCTTGCACAAGTGCTCTTCTGCTCTGGGGGCCTCAAATGGCCAATGAATTATTTATAACAGCCAGGACATGAGCTGATGTTGGGCTAGAGGAGGGGTGGCACCCACACACACTCACTCATAAACAAACACACACAGTCACGCCCACGGGTGTGCGTGTACATACGCGCACTCACTCACACACACATACACACAATGTATCCTCTTAAGCGGGTCAGTGTGCCAGACAGCCACAGGCTAAGCAGACAGCTCACAGTCAAAGCACACTGTGGGACAGTAGATAGAACAAGACTGGTCCGAGGGGAAGTGACGGGTTTGATTGTTGTTTTCTGCTCAATCTATTGCCTGCTTGAGGTAAAGTGAGTGGTAAATCTAAGAAAGCACACCGAAAAACAGTGTTTCATATAAAGAGTGTACTTACTGAGTTTCAGTTCATCATACAGTCCATCATCTTGGCATTGTATTTATTACTGGTTTTAAAAGAGTAAACAGTCGACTTGAAAGTAAATGCATCCTTTGCCTCCCAGTATAGACATGTTCATTATTGGCAGTATCTCATAAATGTACATAGGTAACACTGAAACATGTGTGCATAACTGAGATTGGGAAAAACCCTTTCGTGCAGTTACTAATAAAATAGAGCAGATTAAGACACTCAGCATATTTACGCTGTGTAAATCCTTCAGCCTCCTATCATATATGAATATGACTTCAGGGATTAACATAAACTCCCTCATAGTCTTATAACACGGTTATAAAGGTGTTTTAAATATCAGACCCGTTTTCAAACAGCAGCGAGTCATCCTTAAAATAAAATGAACTGCACAATACTGCCACAATAACCACAATATAATGAAGATGAGCACAGTTGACGTAACTGTATGTTTTTTCCCAGTTTAATCTTTGGTTTCTTTTTTTTTTTTTTTTTTTTTTTGGTTTCTTAACTGCATTTTTACTGCCATTTGGCATTTGACATCAAAACTTGACGCATTTATTTCACACAATTTTTGACATAATCTGATCCAAATTATGCCCCATTTTCCATACCTGGGAAATAACATCTTCATCGCAGGTTCCTATTAATTAAAAACACAAGAAACATAGGAACATATTATGAAATCATACATACATACATTTTAGAGAGATTCTTGTGTTATTTAGAAATGTAAATATCTTATGTTGCCATGTTGGCAAGGTCTCTCTTCTTTTGTTCAGTTAAATAAGAGGACATTTAAAGAATATTTGATTTTCTTTTACTACCTTTAACTTCTGATGTTGATCTTTGAGATTCATGTTGTCTTCAAGGTGAGCTCAAACTCTGGAAGAAACAAAACAAATAATCTTTTAACATGTTGTTGAATGCAGCTATGATGAAAGAAGACAGAAAAGACTGTAACGAGGAAAGAAAAGAGAAGAATAACCTGTGGCTACGCGAGCCAAAGAACAACATCTAATCTGAGGTTCAACGAGGGTTAAGTCCAAAACAAAACAAAGTGAATGTGGTTGTCAGTAATAAAAGCTTCATTAAAAGGTCAGAGGTTGGAGAGGTCACTTAGATGGATTCTCCCCACCTCTGAATTGTCTCCCTCATTCCCTGCAACACTAGAGTTGCATCCCAGCAGCCTCTCTGCGGTGATGCAACATGGCATCTTAAAATAAGCGGTTTACATTGAAAGGTCAGCTGGGGGAGGGCACCTCTCTGAATCTGTGGCTCAAGATGAAGAGGACATCCAGGCAATGACGATATTAAAGCGCAAATATTATATACACGCAGGCCTGTCTGTCTTTTTCCTTTTTCAGCAGAAGGTACATGCATCCTGTAGGTACAAACATAAATACTGTGCATGTAGGCATATGCAGAGGGTTTCATTCTCTCTCAAACAACACAAAAAGTACACAAACAAGTGTATAAATACCAAAGATGCACAGCTCGCCTCCTAAAGGTTAGTCAAATCCAAAAATCAACAAGAGCAGAGTTTAAATGCCAAACAGTTTCAGATGAAGATAAAGTAAGATTTCCATTGTTGCAAAGGACCCGCAAAGGAGGTTAACCTGAGAAGCTGAAAATAAAAAAAGGTAAAAAAAAAGAGTGTTAAGTCAAGCTGACCTGGGATGCAGTTTAAAAAAACCAAAAAAATGTACTACGCCTTTTACTAATTAACTTAGTTTTAATAGATTTTATAATGAGATGTATAAAGCAGAAACAGTTGCAAGGTTGAATATATATCTATATATACTTTAATTATGTGTGTGTGTATGTGTATGTGTGTGTGTGTGTTCTTTGAGTGATAACTACTTCCTCCTCTGACAAAGACCCACAGTAAGCTGCTGCTTGATTAATTCTGATCCACTTAATTAGAAAGCTGCCGATTTCCCGCGTGAATACTGATAACACGAGGAACTGCTGTCATTGACTGTTATTGACTGATGGGTTCATTAAGACTAAGGAACGTGGATCTGAAACTTTCTTTCCTTAAAATACACACAAATACACACACACACACACACACACACGCACGCACACACACACAGAGTGAGACAGAGGGAGAGAAAGAGAGAGTGAGAGCAAAAAAAACCTCACTAACCATGAAAGCTAATATGGGATCCTCACTTGTAGTTTGGTTACATCTCACACACATATGTAAAAGCCAAGTTGTAAAAAGCAAATAATACAGACTTCTTAGAAGTTAAGCGCTAAATCTGTGCGATTGCAAAAGAGGTGCAATAGAGCTGAAGCAATGAAGATGCAGCGGGACGTGTCCCATCCAAGAATCTCCTTCTTCCTGAAGCAAAATCTATGCTCATGTGTGCCGGAAAACCTTATGTGAGCATCAGCAGGAAGTTCTGACAGCTGCAAATGTGCAGGTGCAAATTCTTTCTGTTACCATGAGCACGGAGATGCTTTCACGGCTGTCGAGAGAGAAAATGTTCCCTCACACTGCACCATATTGTAAATATGACAGAAACATGCAGAGACGCAAAGCTGCATGATTGAAGTGCTGGAACACCGTGACTCCTGTTTACTTTTATTTAGGTTAGGTTTGTCAAAACAATTTTTTTTCCCCTTTTGCTTGCTTGTTAACACATTCCCATTGTATTGATTACACAGTGGTAAACTGAGACAAGTGCAGACCTTTTCAAAGATGTGAATAAAGATATCAGTCAAACGGCAGCACAATGAGCGGAAGATGGACAAGCCAATATTAGGAGTATGTAAGGAATGTGCACGACCGCTTTAGATGGATGTGTGGAGGTCCAGAGGGCACTCTTTCCCCCTGTGGAGATCTCTCTGGTAGCGCAGACAGTGATAGCATGGACCCCTGATCTCCACCACCACCAACAATCTCTGTTTGTCCAACTCCTGCTGATCGCCAGCAACTCTGCAAAATGCTTCATCTTTCCATACTCGTGGTCTTAGCTTTTCTCTGTTTGGCTCTGTTTCTGTTGTTCTCGCTTACGTGACTTTTCTTACCCTCTTTGTCATAAATCTGCGCCTGCTTCCATCAATAGGAACGCAGAGCGAACTGACAGCTCTGTCAGGGACTGGTGACATTCTTCTCTTCCTTCCACATAAGGTATGCTGATGTTTACTTCAGCATCCCGTAACTCAAACACGATTAAATCATTGCGGAGAACGAACGGGTGACGGGTCTGCTAAAATCTGCTGCCAAATTCAGTATAAACAGATGCAGTAAAACAGGACGATTCATCATTCGAATTTGAACGTCTGTCTGCTTCACTATAGGGGCCCAAATGCATACATACTCCCTAAGTGAATTGGTTACAGGCCTCTTTTCTCCTACACACATCTCACTCAAATCAACTTAGTCAAAATTGAAAAGCCTCGATTATGTGTAATTCTGATATATTGCTTTGGTTTATTAGGAGAAAACACAGAACACAGAAATATGATCTATTTCTGTGGTGCTCCCTTTGCCATTTTGGCATCTCCCACTCACCCCTACAAAACCCAATAAATGTGAGTCTTGTGCATAAACACGCACACACGCACGCGCTTACAAACAGATCTGCACACATCGTGCGGCAAAATAAAACAGGTTTGGCATCAGGTTCCCTGCGTTATAAGTTCAAATTTGCCAAATTTAGGTCATGTATCAATCTGAAGGGAGACGGGAAGGGAAACAAACTATTTTCACGAGAGACGAGCTGTATCGTTCCCATCTGAGAGAGGTCGTTTGCATAGCTTGACATTCACAGTGCTTCCCACAACCCTACAGTTGGCGGCCCCAACCTCCTTTGAAGTCAGCTAGAATTACTTATGACACAATAAGCTGCAACAATGAAGTAACAAAAGAGACCAGAATTTAAAGGGCATTCCTCTTTACCAAACTCCACCCAAAATACTCCACGGACTCTCCAGTAAGACGTGCCTTTTGACGTGTTTTACTGAAGATGCGTTAAAAAGAAGAAGAAGAAAAAGGCAAAGATTCAAAAGAGCTCGCAGGTGGTGCGTCTACCGCCACCGAAATGTCACTGCGGTTTGAAAATAGAAAGTATACAATAATGCTTTTAATATGCTCTCCCATGATTAACATCTCAGTGTAATCCAGGCTTGGCAAAGAGACTTAACCAGAGCTTCCACACTGGCATCAAGCCAGACTGGCGCTGTGACTTGTCTTCCTACAGACAGAGGGATGAGCTTGGGACGAGATGGGAGACGCGGGGGCCTGGATGGACTGGCTGCAGACACAATGCTGGCACTGTGACAACAAACACCGATCAAGACTAATCTCGTACTCCTAAATACGACGCACACATGCACCCGCACACATACTCTGGAAACTCTCATTTCATCATTCTTCATTCAAAAAGGTTATTTACGTTTTCCATAAAAAGTTATTTTTGATGTATTTGGGGGGGTTTTGTGAAAAAAATGAAACATTTACCAAAAGAATGACATATCACATGTGACATTACTTGGCATATTGTGCAAATGACAATCATCACTCTTTACTAATGATGAGTATTATTTAGAAAGTAAATCTTGCATTGGATATTCACGCTTAGGAAATGTATAACCAAGAACAACTTTAAAGCTAACTTTGAATTCATCTGAGACGCCCAAAAGTCCATCGCCAGCCACCGCCATGTTCCACGGTCACTTAATTGGACCCTTTACTTGCCAGTTACTGCTACAATCAAACTGGGCTCATGTATATTTTACCAGAATCACTGTCACTGCAGATTCCCACATTTCTTGTGTCTATATTTGACTGGGTGGTTAGGAGAACGAGCGGCACATTTGGACATAAAACACTGTTAATAGTCAGAGCATCATTAAGGGTTCTTTCCGCATAACCGGCTTCATGGGGGCAGAGGAATGATCAAGAATAATGTGCGGTCCTTTGTAGCCGCCCAGGTCACAGTCTGCATACAAATCTGCAATGAGGAGGAGAGGCAGGAAAGGAGTGAAGGCTAGGGACGAGGCAGGGGGATCTGGAACAGTGGGTGGGTTTGAGAGGGGAAGAGGGAGAGAGAGAACGAGAGAGACTGGGGTTGAGGATAACTGATCACAATAAGGCGGGTCATTTCTGTGTAGCAAGTTCAGAGATTCTGTGGGCCCTTATGGGGAAGAGGTGGAGGGAGGTAAAGGGGAGGGGAGGCTATTTGGGGAGAGGTAACAGGGTAGAGGGGGAGTCTTGCGCAGGCTGAGGCCCAGAGCTGTATTCAGTGGGGGTAGCCTGCTCTAGCTCCAACACTACTACAAAGCTGGACTCCTAGGGTTCATGAATAAGGCGAGGAAATGATCAGAAAAAAAGGAAAAAGGACCCTAAGAGATGTTTAGACAGATGGCCCACTTAAAACGACGCAAGGACACAGACAGAGAAAAGTGATTTTAATGAAACTTCAGATTTGGCAAATAATTGATCTTTATTTCCCCCCTTAAAAACCCAGCAGAAAGGTGAAAGTAAATTTAATGTGTTACAAGTGCCTTTCCAACAGACATTAAAAGCTACTGGTTGCTTTAAATCCTTTAGATTGAATTAAATTGACATCATGAGAAGGAGCTGGAAAAGAGTTGGTGTGAGGGGGTGGGGAGGAGGGGAGGAGGCAGGGAATCAAATGGAAGGCGTTCAGAAAAGAGCTGTGGTGCCAAAGAAAATAGATAGCAGGGGACTCCTCTCCTCCTCCAGTCGTTCTTAAAGGGCCACTGAGAGGCTCTAAGGGAAAACACGCTAGTCAGTATTTTTAGAAATTTCATTTGATTGGATTCTGGCAAACATCTCTGCTCTGGGCCTTCAGATGTAATATCAAATGTTACTTGCTGGGGACAAGACGATGTTTTATGAATTTAGC